AAAGGGGCAATATATGCTGGACTTTTAGTGGTCCAATTGGCTTGGCTGACTCCACAAAGGTTGAAGTGATGGCTGCTCTCACCAGAATCAGGATAATAAAAAATTTGGGAATTCAGAATTTGATCAGTGCAGGTGATTCAGCAAATATGATAAAATGGTTAAGAGACAAAGAGGGGGGCCCTTGGTGACTGAATCATTTTCTGACAGAGGCTTGGGATTCTTTGGACTGTTTAAATGTTAATTTAGCTTGGATTCCTAGGGAACACAATCATACTGCTACTGCAGATGGCCTAGCTAAATTTGGTGTGTATTTGGAGCATTTGTATAGCGACAAGCTTCCTCCTTTGTAACTTGTAGGGGTTCTTCCCCTGCTTTGTATATCTTCCCATGTTCCCTCTCCTTAATGAATTCTAGTTAAATTTTCTCAAAAAATAAAAAATAAAAGTACTTCCATAAAAGTGATTTTGTAAAATTACTTTCGCAAAAGTGCTTTCATAAAAGTACTTTTATAAATGTGCTTTTGTAAAAGTACTTTCATAAATGTGCTTTCATAAAAGTGTTTTTACAAAAGTGCTTTCATAAAAGTAATTTCGTAGAAGTACTTTATAAAAGTGCTTTCATAAAATTTGAAAGAAAATGAAGGACAAACCGGCAAAATAGTCACAAATGCTTATTTAAGCGCTTATTGGAGAAAAAGGCTACTAAACGCCCAATATGAAATAAGTGCTTATTTTTTTAAATAAGCACTTGAAAAAGTTAGGTGCCAAATGCAAATAAGTGCTTATTCAAATAAGCACTTATTTTTAACATAAGCACTCCCAAACAAGGCCTTAGTGATCAGATGAGGTTTTGTTCCAAGTTTCTGATAACATATTTATATAGCTATAAACATTGCCTTTCATCACCCTACTTCAAATGGCAAGTTTTAGCCGAATAGCCATCAGCCACAAGGCAAAAGGATACATCTGGTTGCCCTTATTTATTGCTATGAGTTTAAGAAAACTCACGGGCCATTATCTTCAAAGGGAAAAAGCAATATACAGTTGGACATAGAACTGGCATATACATAGCAGCTCAACATGTACCCAGAATATCCCTGATCAGACAAATAGTCCAGATTTACCACATTAAATCTCCATTAGACAAGCTCCAATCATTGCAGGTTTTCAGTACAGAATACCATTACCCATACTTGTAAAAAGTATCCAATGGCACTGGCTTCCCTCTCTGCTTTAACTCTTCAATAGGAAAAAATCAAAAAGCAACTTCCTCCTCATTGTCCAAGACAATATCAACTGTGCCAAAACATGGGTTTGGTCTCAATTATTCCATTAAATGTGCTAAAAATGGAAAAAGGAACATGCATCTACAAGCAAGGCCCCTCCATTGAACTTACATTCCCTAACAAGATTTAATCCAAAAAGACTAATTAAATAAGTAGCTTATGCAGGGACAGAAGCAGGGAAAATCAATGGAAGAATAAATCAAGACTTTTGATTGGTAAGAAATAATCAATATTCTTCATATTCTTAAACTTTGATATATTTGAGTCATTTTAAAAGGTCAATTAGTGTAGTCATTACATCATTTCTTTCATTCTATTTTTCAGGGGTCAAAACTTGTTAGATTTACATGATTTAGGTGGCATTAGATAAACAATTGAGTTATCTACCTGTAAAGACCAAGATCTTGTAAATTTGAGGGTCTTATGTGTTAGACAGTTTTGTATGCCCTTAGCTTCAATCATTTTGATGTACTTTTGTTATTTAGTG